GACGACATTCCCATCTTCCCTTCTTCTTCGTCTAACCCCACCTCCTTCGTCTGTGTATGGTTGGGGCTGGCGCAGTCTTCTTGTGTGAAGCGCCACACCCCTTCACACCATGATGATGATGATGTATGTTCGGGGCTGCATTGCAATATTGATTGTTCGGATCATTGGTATCTAAGTCTTCCGCTGTGCTATCTTATACTTTGTATTGAAAGGTCGGTTCTTGTTCTGGTCTGCACCTATACGGTACGCAACAGTTTGGTATCGGAGAGGACCTCTTATTCAGAGGACCCGCTCAATCAAGTAGCCAGCTTGCGATCTGATGATCACTCGTTAGTAACGCAAGTAGGACTTCGTCAAATCTCTGAATTATTTTTTTTTTCTCGCAACAACTATCTGAAGATTTCTGATATTCGCATTTCGTTTTACCTGAAAATTTCTGATATTAGTATTTCGTTTCCACGTAACAAATATCTGAAAATTTCTGATAAATCGCATNACGTAACAAATATCTGAAAATTTCTGATAAATCGCATTTCGTTTTGTCTGAAAACTCCCGATAGTAGCATTTCGTTTTTCTGATATTCGCATTTCGTTTTACCTGAACATTTCTGATATTAGTATTTCGTTTTCACGTGACAAATATCTGAAAATCTCTGATAAATCGCATTTCGTTTTGTCTGAAAATTCCGATTGTAGCATTTCGTTTTTCTGATATTTCGCATACATAGCTGAAATTTCTGAAGTTAGTATTTCATTTTCTAGGTATAATGGGATAACGATAGAAGTGGTCATATTCTCGGAAACCGAAATTATTCTTTTCTGAAAATCGAATTTTCATTCTATCTCTCAAATTTTTTTTGAAAACCGAAATCTTGCGGAGCCTACCAACTTTCGGTAGGCATATTCAGAGGTTGTCATATTCTCAGAAACTGCATTTCGTTCTTTCTGAAAATCGCATCTTTACTCTATTTCGCAAAAAAAAAAAAAATCAAAGATCGAGACTTTGCGGAACCTAGCCTAGATCTCGTTCATAATACTCTTCTGACATGTCTCACTCATAATAGATCATCTCCATCCTCAAAATCGACAGATATACAAAAAAAAAAAGGAAAAAAAAAAAGGAAGTAGTCCTCTTTTATTTTTTTATTTTTTTATCTGTTGATTAGAGCCGGGGGCAAGCATTGTTGGGTTGTTTTCCTACCTACGTTTCCCCCCACCCACTCCTCTGCACGCATTCCAGGTTGGTACAGGGACACGTCAGCAGTGCCACGTCAGACACAGTGCCACGTCAGCAGTGCCATGTCAGACACAGTGCCACATCAGCAGTGCCATGTCAGCAGTGCCACATCAGCAGTGCCACGTCAGCAGTGCCATGTCAGCAATGCCACATCAGCAGTGCCACGTCAGACACAGTGCCACGTAAGCAGTGCCACATCAGCAGTGCCACATCAGTAGTGCCACGTCAGCCAGCAGTGCCCCGCCACCATGACGGGCGCAGCTCTGGGCATGCCAGGCCAACTGGCCAACAAGTCCATTGCCGACTACAAAAAGCGTTTTCAGATTCAGCTCGCTGCAATCGAGGCTGAGGAACAGCGCCAGCTGGCAGTCAAGGCTGCCCAGCTACAGGCTGAAGAAGCGGCAACAGCAGAGAAGCTGCGGCTACAGGCCGAGGCAGACGCAGATGCCCAGGCTCGCCGCAAGGAAGCCCAGGATCTGCTGCTGCGGCATGAAGCCAACAGCATCGACAGACTTAAGTACTGGCACTTTGAACCGAAGGGCGACAAGGCAACACTGGAAGAGCAGCATAAGGAGTTCATGGCCAAGCTCGTGACCAGGTTGGTTTATACTTGTAACCACCTACAGTCCGAGCTGGCAAACCTTCAGCGGGCTGTGCGGAACCATWAGACTCAGCATGAGGATGCCACACGGGCACTGGACGCCCGTGTACTGGACCTGGAACAGGCTGTACCAGGACCAGCTGCTGGGGCTTCCAGCAGTGCATCCTCTAGCCGCCAACTGGAGGAACGCGTTGACCACGTAGTGGCAATGCTAGGAGACATAAGTGCCTTCACAGAGTCGGCCACCATAATCCAGCGGTTCGAGTTGCTGGACACCAAGATCAGTCAGCAACAGCAGACCGACCACAGCCACAACAACAGCTCGGCGAGGCCATACAAGATGCCGACGTTCTGGATCGAGAAATTTGATGACTACACACATCAAGACCCGGTCGTCTGGTGGCAAGGATTTACAACGGAGTTGGGGATCCACGAGGTCCCTGACCATCTGTTCATCAGTGCTCTGTTCATCAACACCAAGGGAGGATGTCAGATCTGGCTCAGCCACATGGCAACCATCCACGGCGTCCAGGTTTCAGACCTGCACAAGAAGGTCACCTGGGAGGATATGACAAAGGAATGGAAGAAGCGGTTCATAGTGGATGACGCACCCGTGCTCACCATCAACCGCATCTTCACGATGGCTCAAGGGAGCACACCGACACGTGACTGGCTCACAGATTGGCAGAAGATCGTGGCCACGCCCGATCTGGACTTGCCATTTCCGCATCTACGCCGTGAGTTCTACAACAGGTCATGCGCTGCTCTCAGCCTCGCACTGGGTGATCGCGAGCAGTACAACACTTTCGCAGAGATCATCAACAAGGCGAGAGAGATCATCAAGACCAACAGGGCGGCCGCACACGAGAAGTCAACGTGGCAGCCAACCTATGTGGAGAAGGTACGAACTGGTCCGCGACAGCAGCAGTTCGCTGCAGTCCAATC